TCTATTTCAATATAATAAGTGAAATAAATTATCATTTACTAAAATTAATTCTTATATTTAATTTGAACAAATAATATATTCAATAACTCCAAGTACAAATTAAAAAGAATAATATTCAAAATTATTATTTTATAAACCAATAAAATAAATAATTTATCAAATCCACATATATATGAATGATTTTTAATTTAAATAAATTTATACAAATAAAAATATTATTAATGGAATAATTATTTTAATACTTATAATTATTTGTGTAGACTTGACAAATTATAATAATTATTTTATAAATTATTAATTAATATTTTAATTTGCATTAAATAACAATGCATTTATTAATTACAAAGATAAAATATTTGAGAATATAATATAAATTGAATCTATCAAATACACTAATCCACATTTAAATAAAAGTTTATTTTTTATTTTAAAAATTCATAAAAATAAAAATATTAATAATGGAATAATTATTTTAGTAATTAAAATTTATGAATTTTCATATGATATGCATCTTAAAAATTTTAATAGATTTGGTATGTTTTAAGTTAAGATTATATATTTTTATAAATTATTGATATTTTTATTTACATTTTATATAAACATATTTATTGTTTACAAATATAAAAGTATTATTTATTGAACATTTGCAAATTAATTTTTAGTTGATTTTTTTTGTTGATGCTAAAAATTGAAAATAGTAAAATAAAAATAATTGATATAATAATTCAAATATAATGGTTGCATATGTTTTGTGCCTTGGATTTTAATAAAAAAATTGATGCATTATCAATAAAATTGTATAATATCTATGCATTCTGTTATATCAATAGTAATATATTCTTTCAGATATACCATTAAAATATAAAATCCCTATGTAGTTATACATTATTTATAATTATTTTGACATTAAACTTAAAGTTATGAATATAATTATTGAATTTGTATGCATTTTCTTAGCATATTCAAGCATTTTCATATTTTTCGTTCATATCCATGCGTTTCCCAAGCATATTCATATCCAAGTTGTCTGATACGATACCCGATACCGGTACTTTAATCCTTGACCACACCCAACAATTATAGAAGATTCCAAATGTACTATTGCAAAGGTATTGGGGCCGATTGTTGGGACCTTTGTTGGGAATACACCCTTCCTCTTTCTATAGACATTAAAGTCACTGAATGTGACAGTCAATGCCACCATTATCCATTCGAGATTGTTCCCCCACAAACAACTCAGTAAAAAAGAAGGAAAATAGGAGAAGGCAACAACAAGACACTAGGTACTTTGTGCAACCCTCGGAACCTGAGGCAGTAGCATCACCTTTCAATGGCGCAGAACCGCCAAACGCCGTAGCAACCACTGCGTTCGGAGAGCTTCAACAAGACGGAGAGTTGTGACACTGTTCACTTGACAAACTAAGTTGTCTAACCTTTTCAGGTGACTTAAACCGAAAGGGTAAGACAGTCATTTCCTAATTCATATGAATTTTAATTTTTCACATTATTTTTCATTTGTTTTAGCCTAGGGGTAAATGTGATATTTCGTCTTTTCCATCAAAAAGCTTGAGGGTACTTTAAGGGAATATGTAAATAGTAGGGGTACAGTTCGTCCATTTCCTAATTAATATATTAAGGGGTAGTTTAAGAGAATTTCCCTTTGCTATACATATTTGTATTTGTACTCTTTTCAAACTGAGCCTCAATATAATTTTTAAGGATGACGTCAATTGTTAAAAAATCTAGGGATACTTTAAGGGATTTTACAAATAATAAGGGTATGTAGTATAAGTCCATTTCCTAAAACTTAGGAATAGTTTAGGGGATTTCCCCTTATGTTAATTGTGATGTATCCTTAGTTGGTAAGGTCTTTAAATAGTTACAAGAGAGACCCCAGGTCAAATCATATTGCTACAAGGGTTTGGGTTATGGGTATGGGAAATAGGAATGGCAATGGGGCGGCAACGATACTCCCCATTCCCAATCTCAAATTTTTACTAATTCCTCATCCTTAACCCCAATCCTCATTGGGGAGAAAAATCAATCTCCATCCCTCACCTCGATAGAGATGAGTCCATAGACCCCAATGAACCTCCAAAAAAAAAGAAGAAAATCATATAGTGGCTCATAAAAAGAACTCTCCCTAGTGAGTAGAAAGAAGTAGCCAATGAACACCTTGTAGGTATATGATGATCACCTAGACCATTAGAGCACAGAAGGTTCTAAACCAATACAACATGAATGCATGTGATGAGTTCATAATTCACACGCACATTTGTGATGAGCTCAGAACCCGCGTAGACATGCGATGAACTCATGACATGAAATGAGCTGCAATGAGCTCAGGACCCACGTGGACTTGCGATGAGCTTAAAGCCATCGTACAACTACGACGGGCACAAGTTCATTGCAGGTCAGAAACAAGTAAAAGAAACACATGTGTCGCTAATAATGTGCGTGATGAGACGCCTTGCAGGATTAAAGAGGATACGCGAGATAAGTAGTGACATCATCCACGCCACATAGGTTTAAAAGGGTCATGAAAGGAAGTAGCACGCGTGTATTATGAGAATCCTCAACCAAAAGGAAAGCTTGTCCTTGAGATATCTCATAAGACACGTGGCGAAACCCTAACAATGTTCCCAAACAACTGACACCGAATCCGAGATTCCCTTCCCTAATTGGAATCAAACACTTTTGGCTCCTTCCTTTCGAGACCTCGGAATCTCTCCCTATTAATAGGGGTCCAACTCATAACGCGATCGTCATTCTATCATTTCATTCGTCGTATCCTTTAGCCTACCTCCTGCTCCCGGCTTTCCTTTGTCCTTCAAGGAGACCCCCGTACATAGCCTTACCTCCCTACTCACACACCTCATTACAAAAACATGTAAAAAAATAAGTTTAAACTTCAAAAGAAGATCTGAAGTGAAAGTTGGAAACTAAGAAATCGATATAATGCTTGAACCAGAAGGAGACATCCTAGAGTCTTGAGTTCATGGAGACAAAAAGCTTCGGTAGTCGGAGACGAGAAAGATGAAAAAAAAGCTCTCTTTGTTTACATGTTTTGCTTATAGTTTCAACTACATGGAGAGGACGCTTTTGTCCCTTAATTTAAATCTCAAAAGGTACTCCTTGAATGAGTTCGACTATGATATGGAAAAGATATGATATCCGAAAAACAACTGACCAATAAACTAGAATCATAAACATGGTAGCGAATCAAGTATTATTTATCAAAATTCATGGGTGGATTGATTGGTCAAAACTCTTTCCATATCATATATTTCCCTAACATAGATAAGTTTTTTTTAAGCCAATAAGAGATAAGTTTGAACAAGGAAATCTATGTATGCCGATTCGTTGCACTAGGAAAAATCTATGTACGTTAAAGACTGGATTTTATGTTCCTGCTAAGAGGCATGATTCCTCATCCCACTCCCTGTCCCCAATTTGAATTGGGATCTGCTCCTATAGAGCATGCCTCACACCGACCTTATAGGCACATCCCACCATGCATAGGGAACATCTCCCATGAATAATAACATATAAATATGGGAGATGTTCCTGATGCATGGTGGGATGTGTGAGGTCAATGTGAGCTGCACTCTATATCATAGTTTTTCCATATTATAGTCGAACCCTTTTATGTACCTACTAAGAGGCATGATTCCTCATCCCAATCCCCATAATGGAATTGGGATCTGCTCCTCATAGAGCACGCCACACACTGACCTCACAAGCACATTCCATCATGCATAGGGAACATCTCCCATGAATAATAACATATAAGTACGGGAGATGTCCCAATGCATGGTGGGATGTGTCTATGAGGTCACTGTGAGGCGCGCTCTATGAGGAGCATATCCAGTCTCCCCCGATTGCAATTGGGTATGAAATGATTCTCCAATCCTGCCGAAGATGGAGTAACCAGCAGGGATGGAGAAAATTGTCATCCCAAATGGGAATGGGCTATACCCTATTGTAGCCCCATAAAAAATGATCATTCGTAAAACTAAAAAGGCTATAGATCATAGTTCAAATTATCCAACTATTGGGTCAGCCCATTAACCCATGACAACATTAAATAAAATATCATGCATATTATCTATGAAAAATTATGGTTAGACGTTTTTCTTGGTTTTAATACAAGTGACTAGGATTTAAGTTTTTACAACTGATATTTTTATTCAAAGATATGTATTTATAATTTAATCAAATATTTCCCATGATAAATTAATGATCCGGGCAAGTTGTTTCTTGGAGCCAATCAATTTTTAAAAATTTTGAGAAACCAATCTATATCTATATTACTATTTCAAGTGAGTGAGATCTAGATTTTAGAATTTTTCTTGACTAAAATACCCCTATTGTTGAATTTGATCCCTCTTTATTATAATCCGTAAAACATGTAATTTGAACTACTATCCATACTACTATTAAAAATATGAATGAGGTTTAGATTCTAGAATTTTTTTGATTAAAATAACCCTACTGTTTAACTGATCCCTCTTTTATAATAGGAAAAATATGTAATTTGAACTATACTTATAATAAATTCATCGATTCCCTCTTATTAAGTCCTATATTCAAGGTATTAACTCACATTTCCTCATTAAATCTTGTAGATTTTTTCTTGATTAAAACATCCCAACTCTTGAATTTGGTCTTTCTCTGATTATAAAGAAAAAATATTATTTAAATTATTCTCATTCTTCATCCTTTGATTTTTTATTTCAAATGTTTTTGTTTCTCATTAATAAATTCTACTAATTAAATCCATACTCAGTAATTTTAACAATACAAAACTTATGTATTCAAACCCAACATAAAAACTAAATTGTTTGTTTGTTTGTATAGTGGATAAATAGTTACACTATTTGGGTAAATGGATTTCATAGCTAAATAATAAAAGTTTAAAAATACATACAAATGTAAAAATTACAAAAAATTTAAACACATCTCTAAAATTATATATTTATCATGTTAAAAAACAAATATAATAAATAAGAGTATTTATATTAATGATGGAAATAAAATACAAAATTTAAACATACGCATCCAACATATTGTAATACACGTCTATTTCTTTCCTTGGGGGGTACGCTTCCTAATACTGATATTTGAGCCTTGCTCATGAACCATGTTACCATCCATGGAAATAAGCATCACCTCCCTTGTACAAGATTCTAAACGCTGTACATCTTAGAACTAATATACAACAGTTTCAATTTTCCAAAGAAAATAGCAGACCTCTCTATCTCCCTGGTGCTGGAGGTTTCACACTCAAAACTTCCTATTCCTCAAAATCTTCTCAGCTTCACCTAGGGAGATGTGTACAATTCCATTGAGACGCATGCATTCACTTTTCTTTTCCTTTAATAAAATAGTATGGAAATGCTTCATATCATGTTCATCCATTTCCAACAATTTGAGAGAATCTTGGATACGAGGAAAAAACGCTTCAGGGCGAAGGCATAGAAGCTTGAAAACAAGGAACAATCCACGCATGTCAGCTTCAAATTGATCAGCCCCCCTTTTGGAGAATCTCGCATCATTCATGAGAATACCGTAAAAAATAAAATGGTCAAGCCCACCAGCAACACTTCTCCATAAATCCAAGAAATCTTTGGTATTGAGGCCCACCTTCAGAACACGGAATTTGTTTCTCAAAGCATCTAAAGCTTCGGCAAAATTGGTGGATATTGTTAAATCCCCAGTCCCCAAAACTCTATTCTGACCAAACTCTTCTAGTTCTAGACTCCACTGTTCCTTGTTTTGGACATATTCCAAGGAAAGAGTGTTGAAATGATTCAGAAGATCAGTTATTAAATCCATGAGCCAGTCGGTCCCTAGATCAATCAAGCACTCTATTTGTTCTCCAAAAAAGCAAATACGGTCATCCGGGATATTTCTTACCCCGTTTTCTGAATCATCTTCAGCAATTCTCATCTCCAAGAAGTTCACATCATCATTCCATTCCTGCAGAACGGATTCACAGTATCTTGCAGCATTAATAGATCCACATACTCTCATCAAGGCATCATTTTCTGCACCACAGGATATGACTTCTGCTTCCTTGCAATGCTGACACAACATATCAATGAAGTACCACAAAATCCTACAAGCTGAAGATCTGATAAATTTTGCTTTGAGATTAATGCTTGGTAAAGTTTGGCACCTTTCTATTACTGCCCATGTGAGTTTAACAACAGCCTCTGCAACGAATGGGGCTCTGTAGTCTTCTCTAGTAGAGAGATGAAATGGTTCCACTTCTTGCTCAGTATTAAGCTCAGATTCTTTTTTACTGTCAATCACCCAAGCCCTCTCATTTTCCATCTCTGCTTTCAGTTTCTTCCTGGCATCCTTGAATTCCATCCTGGCCCAAATTTTGAGCCAATCAGGCTGATCACAGAATATTGATAACATAGACACCCCTCTATCTGGAAGCCCTGCAGAGTCTCCCACAAGGTAAGAAGTTCCCAAATTTGTAAGTGCTTGCATCCGTTTATCAAAAGCAATAATAAGGTCAACCAGATGGAGCCATGAAGAAACAACCTCTGATTTCATGTTTCTATCCTTGTATTTATTAGCTAGAACAGTGAAAATTCTTTTTGAAAGATACCCTGAAAGCATTTTCACCATTGCTGATACCCAAGCTTCCCTAGCACTATAACCTACCAACCTTGCTTTATCAATCAAAGGCTGCAAAACATCATCCACTCCTCCAACAAAATCCCGAGTTATTTTATATACAAGAGCAAATATAAACTTTGGTTGTTCAGACCATTCAGAGAAGTGGTGCATGATTCTCGATGAAATAGGAGAAATAAGTTCATCAATGGTCCATAAACTTGGACTATGATCTTTTTCATGTCCAAAACCAAGTTGCCGTTTTTCTCTTCGGGTCTGCAGATGTTGCAAAGAACAGAGAGAGAGAAAGCTCTTACAATACTTATCTTTCTTATCCTCTTTCATCAGCACTAGTGGGTTAGGAAGGCCTAAACTTTTGTCACTTTCCAATTCCGATGCTAAAAGAGGTGGTGGCCATCCAAGAGAAGAAAGAAGAATTCGGTGATCTGCAAGAGCTTGGAGCCTTATAACAGCAAGAGTCTTGTCCACTCTAGCATCAACAGCCTTTGGAAGATGAATCCATTGTGGCCGACATTTTGCAACATCAATCAATATGTCTTCAATGTCATTCATTGCTTTTACAGAAAGAAGCAGATCATCTTGCTTTTGTCCAAAATCCTGAAACCAAGAAAAAGATATTAAGCTGCTGGACCTATAAAAATAGGACTATCACGCCATTCTAACTTTTTATATCTCACCAAAGGAACACAAATTGATAAAAAGAAAATAAAATTTAAGAGCAAAACATCTGAGAAGCCTCACAGTTCGATGTCTTCCATTTGAGAGATTTACAGAGAAAAGATCTTTGTTGCGGCTCATCACACAAAAAGCAGCATCTTCCAGATCTCCTACAAGAGCTTCCAACTGTAGGGTGGTCTCTGTAAATTTGAAGTACAACTAGGATGAAACAGTTGTGAAACAAGATAGTAGAATCATGTTACGTTTCAAGATCCTAATTTCTGATAAAACAGACTATAAACAATGCACAAAAACATTTATGATAATTTAAGTGTGTAATGTAGGACCAAAAAGGGTAAGAAGCAGGTAAGAGGTGCTAAGTGAGATTTAACATGAAAGCCTGATGTTTACCTTATCATCATCATCTAAGGCTTGTCCTGGATATATGGTGTCTCAGCTACATGAATACTTTTTCCCTGTTCCATTCAGTTCAGTGCCATATCTATCATCAAACTATGGGCACTTGAATCATTTCTTACTACTTCCACCCAAATCCTTTTCAGTCTGCTCCTTGCTCTTCTAGCCCCATCAACTTGTAACAGATAACTTCTTCTAACAGGTGCTGTAGATGGTCTTCTATGCATGTGACCAAACCACCTAAGTCCACTTTCTTTAATTTTGTCACCTATTGTAGCTACTCCTAGATTCCTTTATATGACTTAATTTCTGACCCTATTGCTGTTTGAGTTCTAGGGTTTTCGAATGGAACCCTTATGTTAGAACAAAACAATGAGATGAATAATGAATTTTTATTTGGGCAAATTTCTTAAACTACCCCTAAGTTTTAGGAAATTGACTAACTCACCCCTACTGTTTATATATTGTCTTAAAGTACCCTCAGGTTTTCTAACAATTGACTAAATCCTCATTTTTTGTTAACGTCTGTTAATGGAAAGATGGAAAAGACTATTTTACCCATCATTTTTCTTTAAATTTTCAAGATGAAACATTTGAATAACACCTTACTAATCTTCTCCATCTTCTCAAAGAGAAAACTTTGAAAAGCAAAACAACCTCTCCACTCCCAACAACCCATTTGCTCTTCTATTGGCCACAAATGCTGCACTTAATACAGAAGATCAAGCATAAACAGGAATTTGTGGAACAGAAACGGGTGGCTTGGAGAAGTATTTGACTCGATTGGCAGCACGTTCGGTGATGAAGAACAGTGAAGAGTTGAAGGTGTTTTTACTTTTTACAGGTTCAAGGGAAGCTTCCATTGCAAACAACCACCAGTGTGCATCAAGGATACCCAGATTCCCTTTGTTGCAATTCATTCTCTTTTTTGACGGAGAAAAAAAATGAAGCCTCTTCAACCATTGACAAAAGTCACAAAATACAATAGCTTTTAGCAGAAACAGAATCATTTCTGCAGTCCCCTGCTGAGTTAGCATACAGTAAAACTATGCTGAATCACCAACCGATCTAAAGAGGCATTCAAACGATTGGGGCATCACTAGCTTTGTAACGCCTCCAATAGTCAAACAAAAACATCTGGTCGGATTCAACAGTAGCGCAGACAGCCCTTGCAGTGGGCAGTGCCTTCACGATCCACCAATCTACCAAGAAAAATTGGGGAAAAGAAAATAAAATTGAAGGATGTCAATCTGGTCACCTCCACAGAAAACCTGGTAATCGATATAAGGAACCCCTTGAAATTTTGGAGGCAGACAAAAGGGTTTAGCACTTTGATAGATCACCATGTCAGCTATGAGCCCACCATCTCATCTTGCAGCTCATTGTGAGGAATAAGCCCTCTCTCTCTCTCTCTCTCTCTCTCTCTCACTTCTTCAGCATAGAGATCTTTGTTATCCTGAGCTGAGAACTCTTTTGACTGCACAAGAGAGTCACGGATGTGATTCTTAAATGTGGATAGATCGTTCCTTATTCAAACAACCATTTACAAAACGAGTGACCTCTGCTGTGGTCATGTTAGGAAATGCTTCTCCCAAAAGCATTCATGAATAAATATCATGTTGTTGGGATATGGATAAGGAACAGTTGAAGCATCCCACAAAAGTTCTATCAGTGCACACGACAAATGCTCAATTGTCAAAAAGTTAGGCGGAATTGAATGCAAAACTCAGAAGCCTGAAAATTCTTGAATGTTTTCTGATGTTTCCCTCCAGTCCCAATTGCTGTCATGCTCTGTAGTGATTTTCTGCAAAGCATTTCCGCTGAGGTGCCACTGAGAAATCACCGGAGTTTGTCTCTTGTTGTGGTGCTTGCATGGAGGAAGATAGGGTTTCCGAGGTTTTCATCTATTGGATTTTATTTTGAAATTTTGAGGAAGGGATCATTGTCTACTTCCATGCCAATAATCAGTGATGACAAAGAATGGTGCGTTTTATAGATAGAAGACATTGCACTTCGATAATCAGAGAAAGATGTTGAGTTTTATTTTGAAAATTTGAAGAATAAAGGAAGGAAAAGTTGACCACAAAAGGGGTAATGGAATGCTAACGGAAGGGGAGGATCTAGTCAATTGTCAGAAAATTTAAGGATACTTTAAGATCATATGTAAACAGTAGGGATAGAGATAGTCAATTTCCTAAAACTTAGGGGTAGTTTAATAAATTTGCACTTTTTATTTTAATTTGAATTATATGTTATAACCTATAAAGGCATTGCTTGTATGCATGATTGTCTACGAAAAGCCCATAGACCACAACAAAAAGCCTTAAAATGGAAGTTTCATGAAGATCTATGATGATATTGCAGAGCCTCACTTAAAAAGGCAATCAAATATTAATATATACCATTTGTATTGTAAAAAGAAAAATAATTATTAATGAAAAAAAGAGAAAGAGAATACAATCATCAGGGAGGTGTTAAGACAACACCCAACCTAACATTTAACCCAACAACACCCAAAACAATAACCATTTTTTTATCAGCAAGTGAAAGATTGATTTTATTAAAAAGTAAGAATTGGATACAGATTACAACAAAGCAGAAAAACACAGTTAATACTACATAATGGGGCAGCCAGCACTAAAGATATCTTTTATTCTCTAAATTCTAAACTGAGTACAATTCCCTGGATGCCCTTAATGGGGCGGCCAGCACTAAAGAAATAATAAAACAAAAACAAAAGAGATCCATAATTGAAAGATCATAAAACTAAAACATAACTTAAAAGAAATAAAGACACTAAGGCCCATTCATCCCATCTCACTACTCTCCCTCAAGCCAAGCATAGATGTCAATCATGCTTAAATAATGTTGAAGCTTTGCTTTTGGAACTCCCTTAGAAATCTGCAAGTTGTTATTCTAATGCAATGAAAGGAAGGAACACCTCTCCTGAAGCCACTCTCTCCCATATAAAGTGTTTGTCTTCCTTGACGTGCTTAGTTCTATCATGCTAAACCGGGTTGTGAGCAATGTTAATAGTAGCCTGGTTATCACAATATAACATCAATGGTTTGTCACATGAGACACCCATCTCATTGAGAAGAGATCTAAGCCATAATAACTCAGAAACCATGGGCCATAGCCCTACATTCTGCTTCAACTGAAGATCTAGCAACCACTGATTGATTCTTTAATCCTCCAGGAAACAATATTCCTAATGAAGGGAAATTTGGTCCGAGGTATGCTAACTTTTGCGCTATCTGGCTTATCTTGCCTTTGAAAAGACTCTAACTTGAGCTTCGGAGCCCTTACGCCGGGTTCTCCCCGGAGCTTCTTCACTCCCTCCGTTTCAGGTCCCCTACCACCCAGCTCAGAGGCAAGATCGTTGACAGCTAAGACCGGCCGGATTGTGCATCATCAATTCCCAACTACCAAAGCACAATAGCCTAATGTGGACCTCCAATCATCAACATTACATGCTCAACTAGCATTTGTATATGCTTCTACCTTCATGTGATCATGTTTAACAAATAGTATACCCTTCCTAGGAGTTCCTTTAAGATAGCATAGTAACCTTTCTGTAGCAACCATATGTGTGTCTCTGGGAGCATGCATGAACTGGTTGATTACACTCACAACATATGAAATACTTGGACGAGTCATACATAGGTAAAGAAGTTTCCTTGGTAATCTCTGAAACACTGCCCTATTAGCTAAAAGCTCTCCATCATTAGCTTAGAATTTATGATTCACATCAATAGGGGTAGAGGTAGGTTTAGCACCAAGTTTTCCAGTCTCAATAAGAAGATCCAACACATACTTCCACTAAGAAATAAAGATACCTTCTTTGGCCCTAGCAACCTCAATGTTCGGAAAATATCATCCAGTAACAACAAATTCAGAATTGAGGAACTTCTTGAGATCATTAACTTCTTTGATATCAATACCAATAACAACAATATCATCCACATAAACAGTAAGAAATGTTACCAAAGTATTTCTCCTTTTAACAAAGAGGGTATGAGTGGTAAAGGTTTGGAAATGAGGGTGTTGGTGGTGGAGATGTCAGACCTGTCCTCTCCTTGGTGATTGGAAGCACCTAAGACTCAATTGGAAATGTGAGACCAACCTGCGTCTACCTTATCCTTTGCCGCTGGTACCACCTTAGGAGAATAGGATGAGTGATAAAAACTAGAAAACTAGCAAGAGGGGGAGGAGCAGGAATGGAAGACCTCGAAGGAGAGGATCCCTCCACAAGAGTGGGGGCAACTGTGGAGGGCTTGACACGAAACTCAACTAGTGCTAGCAAAGGAAAGGATGAAGAAAACAATTTAAGAGAACTCTCCCCCTTAGAAGGATTTCTATAAAAAGAGATTGACTCTACAAATGTGACATCCATGGAAACAAACTAGGTGCCACTAATGGGATCAAAACAACAATATCCTTTCTATGTGGAAGCATAACCAAGGAAGATACACTTCTAAGCCTTAGGTTCAAGCTTATGTCTCTTGGAACTAGGAAAGCGGACATATGCAACCAAAGACACAAAGGAATGGAGAAAACCTCAACACCAGGAAAAAGGAGTCCAAAAGGAGACTTTAACCCCAAGACTCGAGAAGGCATACGGTTAATAAGATAAGTGGCTATTAAAACGGCATCACCCCAAAATTTCATAGGAACATGAGTAGCAAAATTGCAAAAAGAATACTCTTTGCAACGTCCACAATATGTCTATTTTTCCTCTCTGCTACTCCATTTTTCTATGGAGTACATGCACAAGAGCTGT